ATATATATTTTATTTTTTTTTATTTTCTCCAAAAAGGCTTTCAGTAATATATTTCAGAACATTTAAATCTAAAATGTGTTTTACATAGGAGATCCTTTGAGAATCTGAATTGGTGGATAATGGAGAAAAGCAGCTGTCGTCACCTTCAATTCATGTCACGTTTTATTGGAAATAATATAAACGATGCCTGGTCTGAATAAGCTTCTCAAACTAGAGCATAATCCTGTATTGTCCATCTGTATGATGAGCATTTTTTAAAACTATATTTTGATATTTATATGTATATATATATATATTTCACCAAACTATGGCCCAACGTGCTACTTCTAGCTGAACTTCCGAGCTTTGAGGACGACGATAGCATGAAATAACAGCAGCATATTTAGCCATAATTTGGCTAATGGCGGGTGTGTAAACGTGTCCCCTTTATAATCTATTGTAACTGACTGAAATCAAGCTGCCCACAACTATTCTAACTAAACGAGAAGAAGAACCACAACTTTTGCTAATCAAAGTGTTTTGAGTTTCACGTTACTCATTGTCTTGGGAGAGAGGTTATTAATTGTGCTTTTTTTTCCTCCTTCATTGACAGTTGAAGCATGTCTGCTCACAGGCGTGAGGCCTGGATGAAAACAGCAACACTTTGAGGCAACTCTCCCCAGCCTCTCCCAGACTGACAGATGAGCAGACGTGCTGACTGACTCTTGACAGGTGAGTTAGCGTAATGCTGGAGATCAGTTCCTCATCAGCGAAAAGACAAACAAATGATGCACCAAATATCTCCACCCTGTAACTGAAATAAAAGTGACTCATACACTGATGCTGACAGTAATTTTCCTATTTGAGTGGCGCCCTATTGAAATATAAAACTAATTCAATTTTGAATATCTACATATTATCATCCATTGTAATATCTGCACCCACCACACTTTTAATAATCATTCCAGTTTGACATATTCCATGCATATTATAGGAAACCTTTCACATTTTACTTACAATCACTCAACCTATACTGCAATGAGTGCAACAAGACATTATGTACAGGTTTATAACACAATACAGCAGTCAGAAATATATAATAATATTTTGTCGAGCCCAACAGCTTTAAATAATTGCTTGGTGAAGAAAAAATGAATTGACAACCCCTTTGATACTTACAAAATACCCCAAAATATCCAGTTCCAGCTTAAATAAAGAGGAGATTTGTGGTTTTCGCCGTCTTATATCATTGCAAATTGAATATCTGTGGACAGTCCAGTGGTCGGACAGCGCTAGACATTTGAAGACGTAACCTTCTAATTACCACCGATTTAAATCCTCACTCATCTGATTAGATCTAGCTCGGTGTTCCTGATGACCGGGCAGCTCGGTGTGAGGACCTGTATTAAGCTCATTGTGGTCTTGATGTAAATGTTTCCATTGACACCAAGCGCTCAGTATGAATGGGGGAGTGGAAGAAGAGGAAGCAGGCAGAGCCTTCTGGGGGGCCACCAGAGGTGAGCTACTGGAGACGCGAGTTGATGAAAGGCACAGCGCCTGCTACACCGAGACGTATGCCATTTGACCCTCTACGCTAATGATCCAGCTGCTCCATAATGTGCAGGGCCAAGTCGGTGTCTTAATTAGAGAACCTTGGGCCGTGGCAAGAATGATGAAGCGTGTCACAGGCGGGCAGTGAGGCAGGCAGGCAGGCAGGCAGGCGGCCCCCACCGATGCCTTCATTACCCTGCCAGGCAGTGGGACAGTCAGAGCGGGGACAAGCCCCAGCCTGCCGCCCCGTCAGGGATGACTGTCTGAGGATGCTCATCGGCGGGTCTGGGAGTCAGCAGAGGAGCGCTGAGGAGGCGAGCAAGATGAGAAGAAAAGCCAGGGGAGATGAAGCAGTATAGGGGAGGGTGTGAGGACCACGGCCGTGCTGGCATCGGGCCTGGCAGAGAGCAGGAAGTGGCAACGGAGTCTGCAGCGAAGAGTTCTGAGAGTTCAGACGCTGTGATTACGAGCCCAAGGGAACAGACTCACACACACCACACACACACGGAGCCACTTTGATCTGGCTTAAAGAAAATGGGGTTCCGTCACTGTCACCACCAAAAAACAGTAAAAAGAAACTCCAATTTGTTTTTAGAATGGAGCACAGAGTATTTGAGGGCTGAGAGGGAGGAATTGATGGTCAAACGCGTTCTCTTATCAGGATTAATAGCGGATTCAGTTCTGAATGAGAAATTGAAGAGTTTCTAAAAACATCTTAATTTACTGAATTCTTGACAGGAATTATCAGCGTTCCGGCTGCCAACAGAGCACTGACAGCAAATCTGTGATTGTGTTTTCGTGGCTCAATCACGCTGGCAGCATGTGCCTGGCCCTATTTTATTCAAGAAAATCCAATGAGGCAACAAGCCGAGTACAACAACCAGGAATTACTTTACACAACACAGCAGATTACGTCAAACTTCATGTTAGGCAACGACCTACTGAGTTGGCAAGTCAGCAACTGCGTCATAAAAATCCGTGCTGTTCCCCATCTCCACTATTGCAAAATTCATGTCTGTACTTAGCCACCACTTAAAAGTTTTAGTGCCTCTAACGACGCACGGCCCAGGATGAAATTAATATTTCAAGTGCGATATTGCTGCAGTGAATGGCACTTAGTGATCTCCAACGTTTCATACAATGACAATTACCATTTACTGACTATAGATGTGTTCATGAATGTGGGTAGTTAATCATTTGAATGCAATACATTCTTTACAAATTCTTAGGTTTTTGCAAATATTTATAACTAAAAACGTGATTAAATATAATGAACATTCATCAACTTTTACCATGTTATTCCACTAAATTATTATATATTACTATATTAGTCTTCCTCAATCAAACTATGGGAGAAGGCAGCGATGGGGCTCTGAAGCCTTTCCTCCCTTCTAGGATCAGTCTGAAGATCTGGTTGACTTAAGGTAATGGTTTAAATAATTTAATCAAAGATAAGCACCTAACGTGTCATCTGATGCTTTATGGTAAATGCAAAATGGTTAATATTTATTGCAGCACATGTAAGGTGCAGTGTTGTCACTAATTAATATTTAAATGGATTTTATGTTTCCGTATAACAGATATCGTCCGCTTCCTCCTGCTCAAGTGTTCACTGAGCGCTAATGTATTTGTGCTGCAAATACTTTCTGTGTCCAAGTAGAAGTTTTTGTGTTTATTTGTACGAGCATGTCACAGCATTGACCGCTGTCTCAAAGATACCACAGCGGCCTGTCCCAACAGAATGATCCAACGTTACACGTCGTCATACTACTGAGACAAAGAACACAGCGGGACATACGGTCCGGTATGAGAATCACATTGAAATGACCCGACACCTGGTAAGGTAGGTAATCCATCTCCAATCCAACAATGTTGCTTTTATCAAAGTGATGTTGGAGTGCACATTGTGTTTCTGTTGTGAAGTTCTGAGATCCAGGGCGTCAAAATCAATGTGAAGCCGTT